AGTTACATTATATTGACTTATTATCAAGTTTTTATAAAACCATATAGACTGCACAACGTCACACCTCGATTTCAGTAAAGCGTTTGATACTGTACCGCACGAGCAATTATTGGTTAAATTGGAAAAGATGGGGATCGATATGAAAATCCAGAGGTGGATAAGGAACTGGTTAATGGGGAAGACTGCAGCGGGTCATACTGAAAGGTGAACTGTCAGGTTGGAGGGAGGTCACCAGTGGAGTTCCTCAAGGTTCGGTTTTGGGTCCCATTTTATTTAATCTATTTATAACTGACCTCGGAACCAGTTGTAGGAGTGGGCTGATAAAGTTTGCGGATGACACAAAGCTGGGAGGTATTGCCAATTCGGAGAAGGATCGGGATATTCTGCAGGGAGACTTGAATGACCTTGTAAACTGGAGTAACAGAAATAGGATGAAATTTAATAGTGAAAAGTGTAAGGTGATGCACTTAGGGATGACTAACAAGAATTTTAGTTACAAGCTGGGGACGCATCGGTTGGAAGTAACGGAGGAAGAGAAAGACCTCGGAGTCCTGGTAGGCCGCAGGATGACTATGAGTCGACAGTGTGACGTGGCGGTGAAAAAAGCCAATGCGGTCTTGGGATGCATTAGGCGAGGTATATCTAGTAGGGATAAGGAGGTGCTGCTTCCGTTATACAAGGCACTGGTGAGACCTCATTTGGAGTACTGTGTGCAGTTCTGGTCTCCCATGTTTAAAAAGGATGAACTCAAACTGGAACGGGTACAGAGAAGGGTCACTAGGATGATCAGAGGAATGGAAAACCTGTCGTATGAAAGGAGACTCGAGGAGCTCGGGTTGTTTAGTCTGACCAAACGAAGGCTGAGGGGGGATATGATTGCTATCTTTAAATATATCAGAGGGATAAATACCAGGGAGGGAGAGGAATTATTCCAGCTCAGTACTAATGTGGACACGAGAACGAATGGATATAAACTGGCCGTCGGGAAGTTCAGGCTTGAAATTAGACGAAGGTTTCTGACCGTCAGAGGGGTGAAATATTGGAACAGCCTTCCAAGGGAAACAGTGGGGGCGAAGGACCTGTCTGGCTTTAAGATTAAGCTAGATAAGTTTATGGAGGGAATGGTGTAATGGGAACATGATTTTAGTCAAAGGAACAGCGTGCCATTGCTGGTAAATAGTATCAATGGTCAATGAGGGTCAGGCTGGAGACTCTTGCCCGCATGCTCGGGGTTCTACTGATCGCCATATTTGGGGTGGGGAAGGAATTTTCCTCCGGGGCAGATTGGCAGAGGCCCTGGAGGTTTTTCGCCTTCCTCCGCAGCATGGGGCGGGGGTCGCTAGCTGGGGGATGCTCTGCGGCTTGAAGTCTTTAAATCACAGGATTTGGGGACTTCAACAGCTGAGTCAAGGGAAGGGGGTGGGTCAGCTTTTGTGGCCTACATCATGCGGGAGGTCAGACTAGATGATCATAATGGTCCCTTCTGACCTTAAAGTCTATGAGTCTATGAGTCTATGACTCTAACCTTTTCCCACCTGTGTTTGCCAGGGGACGCGGGAGCCCCGACCCCAGAGCCTCGTGCAACACAGCGGAATATCAGACACATTGGTGGGAGTTGCCATCTTTGAAGGAACCGCAGGACACCTGGGTTCTCTCCCCGGCTGGGGGAGGGGAGTGGGATCTAGTAGTTAGTGCTGGGGGCTGGGAGCCAGGTCTCCTGGGTTCTTTCCCTGGCTCTGGGACAGGAGCAGGAGCTGGTGGGTTACAGCAGGGGCGGCTGGGAGCCAGGACTCCTGGGTTCTCTTTCCAGCTCTGGGCGGGGAGTGCAGTCTGGTGAGTTAGAGCATGGGCAGGGAGGCTGGGTGCCAGGTGTCCTGAGCGACACATTCAGTCCTGCCCCAGTGTTTGTTCAACACACCCTGGGCGAGTTTCCACCTGCCTATGCTTCACTTTCAGCCGAGCCCTGTGGGGAGTGGAGATGAAGTGCTCGGGCGCCCGGATCCTGCTGATTGCGGGGGTCTTTTGGCTATCGTACACTGTGTGGATCAAACTGAGGCAGCCTCCGCAGGGCAACCCTGACCCCAGCCGTGGCTTGGTGGAGCTGCCTGACGGGACCTTCACCTTCCGCTTGGATTACGCCGCCTTCCAGGCCGAGTTCCCCCAGCTGCAGAGCTACCGGTGCCGGGAGCTGATCCCAGGGGACGGGGTTTGCACCGGGCCCCCAGGGCCGCCCCTGCTGCTCCTGGCCGTGAAATCCCAGCCAGCGTCCAGCGCCAGACGGGCCACCGCCCGCCGCACGTGGGCCCGGCCCAGGGTCCTGGGGGGCTACCGGGTCCGACCCGTCTTCCTCGTGGGGGTGTCCCACAACCCCCGGGACATGGCCCTGCTGGGCCGGGAGAGCGGGGAGTTTGGGGACGTGGTGCTGTGGGATTTCGCCGAGAGCCACCACAACCTGTCGCTCAAGGAGCGCTGCTTCCTGCGCTGGGTGGGGGCGCACTGCGGGCAAGCGGATTTCATCTTCAAAGGTGAGCCCGGACGCCTGGGTTCTCTCCCTGGCTCTGGGAGGGCAGAGGGGCTGGTGGGTTAGAGCCGGGGACTGGGAGCCAGGACTCCTGGATTCTCTCCTCAGCTCTGGAAGGGGAGTGGGGGCTGGTGGGTTAGAGCAGGGGGCCTGGGAGCCAGGACTCCTGGGTTCTCTCCCCGGCTCTGGGAGGGGAGTGGGGGCTGGTGGGTTAGAGCAGTGGGGGGGCTGGGAGCCAGGACTCCTGGGTTCTCTCCCCGGCTCTGGGAGGGGAGTGGGGGCTGGTGGGTTAGAGCAGGGGGGG